CAGCCTCTTTGGAGACTGGAACCACTTTGGAAACTGGTACCACTTTGGAGACAGGAATCACACTGGAATCTGCAAACTCTTTGGAAACTTCAACAACTTTGGAGACTGGAATCACTTCAGAACCTGGAACCACTTTTAAACATGGAACCACTTCGGAAACTGAAATCACTTTGGAGACTGGAACCACTTTGGAAACTGGAAACACTTTGGAATCTTTAACCACATTTGAACCTGGAACCACTTCAGAATCTAGAACAACTTTGGAATCTGCAAGCACTTTGGAAACTGGAACCACTTTGGAAACTGGCACTGCTTTTGTACCTGCAACCACTTCGGAGCCTGCAACCACTTTGGAAAGTTTAACCACTTCTGAACCAGGGACCACTTTGGAATCTGGAACCACTTTGGAAACTGCAACCATTTTTGAGACTGGAACCACTTTAGAAACTGATACCACTTTGGAGACTGGAACCACTTTGGAACCTGCAACCACTCTGGAGACTGGAACAACTTTGGAATCTGCAACCACTTTGGAATATTCAACCACTTTGGAGACTGGAAGAACCTTGGAATATATAACCACTTTGGAAAATGGAGGCACTTTGGAATCTGGAACCACTTTGGAAACTGGAGCCACTTTGGAAACTGAAACAACTTTGGAATCTGCAAGCACTTTGGAGACTGGAACCACTTTGGAAACTGGAACCACTTTGGAATCTGCAAACACTTTGGAGCCTCAAACAACTTTGGAAACTGGAACAACTTTGGGATCTGCAAGCACTTTGGAGATTGGAACAACTTTGGAAACTTCAACAACTTTCGAACCCAGAACCACTTTGGAAACTGGAACCACTTTGGCGACTGGAACAACTTCGCAATTCATAACCACTCTGGAACCAGGAGGCACGTTGGGAACTGGAACCACCTTGGAGACTGGAATCACTTTGGAGACTGGAACAACCTTGGAATATATAACCACTCTGGAAACTGGAACCACTCTGAGTAGTGGAATCACTTTGGAATCTGGAACCACTTTGGAGACAGGATCCACTTTGGAATCTACAGCCACTTTGGAAACTGGCTCTGCTTTTGTACCTGCAACCACTTTGGAAACTGGAACCACTTTGGAATCTGGAATCACTTTGGAACCTGCAACCATTTTGGAAACTTTAAGCACTTTTGAACCTGGAACCACTATGGAATCTGCAACCACTTTTGAGACTGCAACCACTTTGGAACATGGAACCACTTTGGAAACTTCAACAACTTTGGAACCTGGAACCAGTTTGAAAACTGAAAACACTTTGGAAACTGGAACCACGTTGGAAACTGCAACCACTTTGGAAACTTTAACCCCTTTTGAACCTGGAACAACTTCGGAACCTGCAACCAATTTGGAGACTGGAACAACTTTGGAACCTGGAACCAGTCTGGAAACTTTAACCACTTTTGAATCTGGAACCACATTCGAACCTGTAACCACTTTGGAACCTTTACCCACTTTTGAACCTGGAACCACTTTGGAAATTGCAACCACTTTGGAGCTTGGAACAACTTTGGAAGCTTCAACAAATTTGGAAACTGAAACCACTTTGGAAACTGGAATGACTTTGGAATCTGCAAGCACTTTGGAGACTGGAACAACTTTGGAATCTGCAAGCAGTTTGGTACCTGGAACCAGTTTGCAAACTGGAAGTAGTTTGGAAACTGGAACCACTTTGGAGACTGGAACCACTCTGGAATCTGCAAACACTTTGGAACCTGCAACCACTTTGGAATCTGGAACCACTTTTGAACCTGGATCCACTTTGGAATCTGGAGCCACTTTGGAACCTGCAACCAGTTTCGAGACTGGAAATACTTTTGAAACTGCAACCACTTTGAAACCTGCGACCACTTTGGAAAGTGGAACCTCTTTAGAATCGGGAACCACTTTGGAGACTGCAACCACTTTAGAGGCCGGAACCATTTTGGAAACTGGAACCACTTTGGAATCTGCAACCACTTTGGAAACTGGAACAACTTTGGAAACTTCAATAACTTTGGAGAGTGGAACCACTTTGGAATCTGGAACCACTTTGGAGACTGGAACAACTTTGGAAACTTCAACAACTTTGGAGACTTCAACCACTTTGGAGACTGGAACCACTTTGGAAACCGGAACCATTTTGGAACCTGCAACCACTTTGGAAACTGGAACCACTGTGAACACTGGAACCACTTTGGAAACTGGAACCACACAGGAAACGGCAACCACTTTGGAGGCTGGAGCAACTTTGGAAACTTCAACAACTTTGGAGACTGCAACCACTTTGGAACCTGCAACTACCTTGGAAACTGGAACCACTTTGGAGACTGGAACAACTTTGGAATCTTCGACAACTTTGGAGACTGCAACCACTTTGGGACCTGCAACCACTTTGGAAACGGCAACCACATTGGAGACTGGAACAACTTTGGAGACTGGAACCACTTTGGAATCTGGAACCACTTTGGAGACTGGAACAACTTTGGAAACTTCAACGACTTTGGAGACTGCAACCACTCTGGAATCTGCAACCACTTTGGAGACGGCAACCACTCTGAACACTGGAAACACTTTGGAAACTGGAACCACTTTGGAGACTGGAACAACTTTGGAACCTGCAACCACTTTTGAGACTGGAACAACCTTGGAAACTTCAACAAGTTTGGAGACTGGAATGACTTTGGAAACTGGAACCACTTTGGAGACTGGAAGCACTCTGGAATCTCTAATCACTTTGCAAACTTTAACCACTTTTGGACCTACAACCACTTTGGAATCTGGAAACACTTTGGAAACTGGAACCACTTTGGAAACTTCAACAACTTTAGAGAGTGGAACCACTTTGGAAAGTGGAACCATTTTGGAACCTACAACCACTTTGGAGACTGGAGCAACTTTGGAAACTGGAACCACTTTGGAATCTGCAACCACTTTGCAGATGGAAACCACTCTGAACACTGGAACAACTTTGGAAACTGGAACCACACTGGAAACAGCGACCACTTTGGAGACTGGAACAACTTTGGAAACTTCAACAACTTTGGAGAGTGGAACCACTTTGGAAACTGGAACCACTTTGGAGACTGGAACAACTTTGGAAACTTCAACAACTTTGGAGAGTGGAACCACTTTGGAAACTGGAACCACTTTGGAGACAGGAACAACTTTGGAAACTGGAACCATTTTGGAACCTGGAACCACTTTGAAAACTGGAACCACCCTGAATACTGGAACCACTTTTGAACCTGCAACCAGTTTAGAAACTGGAACCACTTTGGAATCTGCAACCACTTTGGAGACTGGAACCACTCTGAACACTGGAACCACTTTGGAAACTGGAACCACACTGGAAATTGCAACCACTTTGGAGACTGGAACAACTTTGGAAACTTCAACAAGTTTGGAGACTGGAATGACTTTGGAAAGTGGAACCACTTTGGAAACAGCAACCACTTTGGAGACTGGAACCTCTTTGGAAACTGGAACCATTTTGGAACCTGGAACCACTTTGAAAACTGGAACCACTCTGAATACTGGAACCACTTTGGAACCTGCAGCCAGTTTGGAAACTGGAGCCACTTTTGAACCTGCAAGCAGTTTGGAAACTACAACCACTTTGGAATCTGCAACCACTTTGGAGACTGGAACAACTTTGGAGACTGCAACTACTTTGAAGGCTGGAACCACTTTGGAAACTGGAACCACTCTGGACACTGGAACCACTTTGGAAACAGGAACCGCACTGGAAAGGGCTACCACATTGGAGACCGGAACAACTTTGGAAACTTCACCAACTTTGGAGCCTGCAATCACTCTGGAACCTGCAACAACTTTTGAAACTGGAACCACTTTGGAAACTGGAACCACTTTGGAAACTGGAACCACTCTGAACACTAGAACCACTTTGGAAACTGGAACCGCACTGGAAATGTCAACCACTTTGGAGACTGGAACAACTTCGGAAACTTCAACAACTTTGGAGACTGCAACCACTCTGAACACTGGAACAACTTTTGAAACTGGAACCACTTTGGAGACTGGAACAACCTTGGAGGCTGGTACCAGTTTGGAAACTTCAACAACTTTGGAGAGTGGAACCACTTTGGAACCTGCAACAACTTTGGAAACTGCAACCACTTTAGAGGCCGGAACCATTTTGGAAACTGATACCACCTTGGAGACTGCAACCACTTTGGAATCTGCAACCACTTTGGAGACTGGAACAACTTTGGAGACTGCAACTACTTTGGAACCTGGAAACACTTTGGAGACTGGAACCACTTTGGAAACTGGAACCATTTTGGAACCTGCAACCACTTTGGAAACTGGAACCACTGTGAACACTGGAACCACTTTGGAAACTGGAACCACACAGGAAACAGCAACCACTTTGGAGACTGGAACAACATTGGAAACTTCAACAACTTTGGAGAGTGGAACCACTTTGGAAACTGGAACCATTTTGGAACCTACTACCACTTTGAAAACTGGAACCACCCTGAATACTGGAACCACTTTTGAACCTGCAACCAGTTTAGAAACTGGAACCACTTTGGAATCTGCAACCACTTTGGAGACTGGAACCACTCTGAACACTGGAACCACTTTAGAAACTGGAACCACACTGGAAACGGCAACCACTTTGGAGACTGGAACAACTTCGGAACCTGCAACCACTTTAGAAACGGGAACCACTTTGGAGACTGGAACAACTTTGGAGACTGCAACCACTTTGGAACCTGCAACTACCTTGGAAACTGGAACCACTTTGGAGACTGGAACAACTTTGAAAATTTCAACAACTTTGGAGACTGGAACCACTTTGGAATCTGGAACCACTTTGGAAACTTCAACAACTTTAGAGAGTGGAACCACTTTGGAAAGTGGAACCATTTTGGAACCTACAACCACTTTGGAGACTGGAGCAACTTTGGAAACTGGAACCACTTTGGAATCTGCAACCACTTTGGATATGGCAACCACTCTGAACACTGGAACAACTTCGGAAACTGGAACCACACTGGAAACAGCGACGACTTTGGAGACTGGAACAACATTGGAAACTTCAACAACTTTGGAGAGTGGAACCACTTTGGAAACTGGAACCATTTTGGAACCTACTACCACTTTGAAAACTGGAACCACCCTGAATACTGGAACCACTTTTGAACCTGCAACCAGTTTAGAAACTGGAACCACTTTGGAATCTGCAACCACTTTGGAGACTGGAACCATTCTGAACACTGGAACCACTTTGGAAACTGGAACCACACTGGAAATGGCAACCACTTTGGAGACTAGAACAACTTTGGAAACTTCAACAAGTTTGGAGACTGGAATGACTTTGGAAAGTGGAACCACTTTGGAAACAGCAACCACTTTGGAGACTGGAACCACTTTGAAAACTGGAACCACTCTGAATACTGGAACCACTTTGGAACCTGCAGCCAGTTTGGAAACTGGAGCCACTTTTGAACCTGCAAGCAGTTTGGAAACTACAACCACTTTGGAATCTGCAACCACTTTGGAGACTGGAACAACTTCGGAAACTTCATCAACTTTGAAGGCTGGAACGACTTTGGAGACTGGAACCACTTTGGAACCTGGAACCACTTTGGAAACAGGAACCACACAGGAAACGGCAACCACTTTGGAGACCGGAACAACTTTGGAAACTTCACCAACTTTGGAGCCTGCAATCACTCTGGAACCTGCAACAACTTTTGAAACTGGAACCACTTTGGAAACTGGAACCACTCTGAACACTGGAACCACTTTGGAAACTGGAACCGCACTGGAAACGGCAACCACTTTGGAGACTGGAACAACTTCAGAACCTGCAACCACTTTGGAAACTGGAACAACTTCGGAAACTTCAATAACATTGGAGACTGCAACCACTCTGGAACCTGCAACAACTTTTGAAACTGGAACCACTTTGGAGACTGGAACAACCTCGGAGGCTGGTACCACTTTGGAAACTTCAATAACTTTGGAGAGCGGAACCACTTTGGAAAGTGGAACCATTTTGGAACCTGCAACCACTTTGGAAACTGGAACCACTCTGAACACTGGAACCACTTTGGAAACTGGAACCACACAGGAAACGGCAACCACTTTGGAGACTGGAACAACTCTGGAAACTTCAACAACTTTGGAGACTGCAACCACTTTGGAAACTGGAAGGACTCTGAACACTGGAACGACTTTGGAAACTGGAACCACTTTGGAGACTGGAACCACTTTGGAAACTTCAACAACTTTGGAGAGTGGAACCACTTTGGAACCTGCAACTTCTTTGGAGACTGGAACAACTTTAGAAACTGGAACAACTTTGGAAAGTTCAACAACTTTGGAGACTGCAACCACTTTGGAGACTGGAACCACTTTGGAAACTGGAACCATTTTGGAACCTGCAACCACTTTGGAAACCGGAACCACTGTGAACACTGGAACCACTTTGGAAACTGGTACCACACAGGAAACGGCAACCACTTTGGAGACTGGAACATCTTTGGAAACTTCAACAACTTTGGAGACTGCAACCACTTTGGAACCTGCAACTACCTTGGAAGCTGGAACCACTTTGGACACTGGAACCACTTTGGAAACTTCAACAACTTTGGAAAGTGGAACCAGTTTGGAAACTGCAACCACTTTGGAGACTGGAACAACTTTGGAAACTTCAACAACTTTGGAAAGTGGAACCAGTTTGGAAACTGCAACCACTTTGGAGACTGGAACAACTTTGGAAACTGGAACCACTTTGGAAACTGGAACCACACAGGATACGGCAACCACTTTGGAGACTGGAACAACTTCGGAACCTGCAACCAGTTTGGAAACTGGAACCACTTTGGAGACTGGAACAACTTCGGAACCTGCAACCACTTTGGAAACTGGAACCACTTTGGAGACTGGAACAACTTTGGAACCTGCAACCACTTTGGAATCTGCAACCACTTTGGAGACTGGAACCACTTTGGAAACTGGAACCGCACTGGAAACAGCAACCACTTTGCAGACTGGAACAACTTTGGAAACTTCAACAACTTTGGAGACTGCAACCACTTTTGAACCTGCAACCACCTTGGAAGCTGGAACCACTTTGGAGACTGGAACAACTTTGGAGTCTGGAACCACTCTGAACACTGGAACCACTTTGGAAACTGGAACCACACTGGAAACGGCAACCACTTTGGAGACTGGAACCACTTTTGAAACTGGAACCACTTTGGAAACTGGAACCACACAGGAAACGGCAACCACTTTGCAGACTGGAACAACTTTGGAAACTGGAACCACTTTGGAAACTGCAACCACTTTGGAGACTGGAACCACTCTGAACACTGGAACCACTTTGGAAACTGGAACCACACTGGAAACGGCAACCACTTTGGAGACTGGAACCACTTTTGAAACTGGAACCACTTTGGAAACTGGAACCACACAGGAAACGGCAACCACTTTGGAGACTGGAACAACTTTGGAAACTGGAACCACTTTGGAAACTGCAACCACTTTGGAGACTGGAACCACTCTGAACACTGGAACCACTTTGGAAACTGGAACCACACTGGAAACGGCAACCACTTTGGAAACTGGAACCACTTTGGAAACTGGAACCACACAGGAAACGGCAACCACTTTGGAAACTGGAACCACTTTGGAGACTGGAACAACTTCGGAACCTGCAACCACTTTGGAATCTGCAACTACTTTGACCACTTTTGGACCTAGAACCACTTTGGAAACTGCAACCACTTTGGCGACTGGAACCACTTCAGAAACTGATACTACTTTGGAGACTGGAACCACTTTGGAACCTGCAACCACTTTTGGGACTGGAACAACTTTGGAAACTGGAACCATTTTGGAACCTACTACCACTTTGAAAACTGGAACCACCCTGAATACTGGAACCACTTTGGAGACTGGAACAACTTCGGAACCTGCAACCACTTTGGAATCTGCAACCACTTTGGAGACTGGAACCACTCTGGAGACTGCAACCACTTTGGAAACTGGATCCACTCTGAATACTGGAACCACTTTGGAAACTGGAACCGCACTGGAAACGGCAACCACTGTGCAGACTGGAACAACTTTGGAAAATTCAACAACTTTGGAGACTGCAACCACTTTGAAACCTGCAACCACTTTGGAGACTGGAACCACTTTGGAGACTGGAACCACTTTGGAGACTGGAATTACTTTGGAGCCTGGAATCACTCTGGAATCTGCAACCACTTTGCAAACTTTAACCACTTTTGAACCTAGAACCACTTTGGAATCTGCAACAACTTTGGAGCCTGGAACAACTTTGGAAACTTCAACAAGTTTGGAGAGTGGAACTACTTTGGAAACTGGAACCACTTTGGAGACTGGAACAACCTCGGAGGCTGGTACCACTTTGGAAACTTCAATAACTTTGGAGAGCGGAACCACTTTGGAAAGTGGAACCATTTTGGAACCTGCAACCACTTTGGAAACTGGAACCACTCTGAACACTGGAACCACTTTGGAAACTGGAACCACACAGGAAACGGCAACCACTTTGGAGACTGGAACAACTCTGGAAACTTCAACAACTTTGGAGACTGCAACCACTTTGGAAACTGGAAGGACTCTGAACACTGGAACGACTTTGGAAACTGGAACCACTTTGGAGACTGGAACCACTTTGGAAACTTCAACAACTTTGGAGAGTGGAACCACTTTGGAACCTGCAACTTCTTTGGAGACTGGAACAACTTTAGAAACTGGAACAACTTTGGAAAGTTCAACAACTTTGGAGACTGCAACCACTTTGGAGACTGGAACCACTTTGGAAACTGGAACCATTTTGGAACCTGCAACCACTTTGGAAACCGGAACCACTGTGAACACTGGAACCACTTTGGAAACTGGTACCACACAGGAAACGGCAACCACTTTGGAGACTGGAACAACTTTGGAAACTTCAACAACTTTGGAGACTGCAACCACTTTGGAACCTGCAACTACCTTGGAAGCTGGAACCACTTTGGACACTGGAACCACTTTGGAAACTTCAACAACTTTGGAAAGTGGAACCAGTTTGGAAACTGCAACCACTTTGAGGCTTTTTCAACAACTTTGGAAAGTGGAACCGCTTTGCAACCTGGAACCACTTTGGAAACTGGAACCACACTGGAAACAGCAACCACTTTGGAGACTGGAACAACTTTGGAAACTGGAACCACTTTGGAAACTGGAACCACACAGGAAACGGCAACCACTTTGGAGACTGGAACAACTTCGGAACCTGCAACCAGTTTGGAAACTGGAACCACTTTGGAGACTGGAACAACTTTGGAAACTGGAACCACTTTGGAAACTGGAACCACTTTGGAGACTGGAACAACTTTGGAACCTGCAACCACTTTGGAATCTGCAACCACTTTGGAGACTGGAACCACTTTGGAAACTGGAACCATTTTGGAACCTGCAACCACTTTGGAAACCGGAACCACTGTGAACACTGGAACCACTTTGGAAACTGGAACCGCACTGGAAACAGCAACCACTTTGCAGACTGGAACAACTTTGGAAACTTCAACAACTTTGGAGACTGCAACCACTTTTGAACCTGCAACCACCTTGGAAGCTGGAACCACTTTGGAGACTGGAACAAGTTTGGAGTCTGGAACCACTCTGAACACTGGAACCACTTTGGAAACTGGAACCACACTGGAAACGGCAACCACTTTGGAGACTGGAACCACTTTTGAAACTGGAACCACTTTGGAAACTGGAACCACACAGGAAACGGCAACCACTTTGGAGACTGGAACAACTTTGGAAACTGGTACCACTTTGGAAAGTTCAACAACTTTGGAGACTGGAACCACTCTGAACACTGGAACCACTTTGGAAACTGGAACCACACTGGAAACGGCAACCACTTTGGAGACTGGAACCACTTTTGAAACTGGAACCACTTTGGAAACTGGAACCACACAGGAAACGGCAACCACTTTGGAGACTGGAACAACTTTGGAAACTGGAACCACTTTGGAAACTGCAACCACTTTGGAGACTGGAACCACTCTGAACACTGGAACCACTTTGGAAACTGGAACCACACTGGAAACGGCAACCACTTTGGAAACTGGAACCACTTTGGAAACTGGAACCACACAGGAAACGGCAACCACTTTGGAAACTGGAACCACTTTGGAGACTGGAACAACTTCGGAACCTGCAACCACTTTGGAATCTGCAACTACTTTGACCACTTTTGGACCTAGAACCACTTTGGAAACTGCAACCACTTTGGCGACTGGAACCACTTCAGAAACTGATACTACTTTGGAGACTGGAACCACTTTGGAACCTGCAACCACTTTTGGGACTGGAACAACTTTGGAAACTGGAACCATTTTGGAACCTACTACCACTTTGAAAACTGGAACCACCCTGAATACTGGAACCACTTTGGAGACTGGAACAACTTCGGAACCTGCAACCACTTTGGAATCTGCAACCACTTTGGAGACTGGAACCACTCTGGAGACTGCAACCACTTTGGAAACTGGATCCACTCTGAATACTGGAACCACTTTGGAAACTGGAACCGCACTGGAAACGGCAACCACTGTGCAGACTGGAACAACTTTGGAAACTTCAACAACTTTGGAGACTGCAACCACTTTGAAACCTGCAACCACTTTGGAGACTGGAACCACTTTGGAGACTGGAACCACTTTGGAGACTGGAATTACTTTGGAGCCTGGAATCACTCTGGAATCTGCAACCACTTTGCAAACTTTAACCACTTTTGAACCTAAAACCACTTTGGAATCTGCAACAACTTTGGAGCCTGGAACAACTTTGGAAACTTCAACAAGTTTGGAGAGTGGAACTACTTTGGAAACTGGAACCACTTTGGAGACTGGAACCACTTTGGAAACTGGAAGCACTGTGAATACTGGAAGCACTTTGGAAACTGGAACCAGTTTGGAGACTGGAACAACTTTGGAAACTTCAACAAGTTTGGAGACTGGAACTACTTTGGAACCTGCAACCACTTTTGAGACTGGAACAACCTTGGAAACTTCAACAAGTTTGGAGACTGGAATGACTTTGGAAACTGGAACCACTTTGGAGACTGGAAGCACTCTGGAATCTGCAACCACTTTTGAACCTACAACCACTTTGGAATCTGCAACCACTTCGGAGACTGGAACCACTTTGGAAAATTCAACAACTTTGGAGAGTGGAACCACTTTGGAAAGTGGAACCATTTTGGAACCGGCAACCACTTTGGAGACTGGAACAACTTTGGAACCTGCAACCACTTTGCAAACTGTAACCACTTTTGAACCTAGAACCACTTTAGAATCTGCAACCACTTTGGAGACTGGAACAACTTTGGAACCTGCAACCAGTTTGGAAACTGGAACCACTTTGGAATCTGCAACCACTTTTGAGACTGGAACAACTTTGGAAACTGCAACAAGTTTGGAGACTGGAATGACTTTGGAAACTGGAACCACTTTGGAAACAGCAACCCCTTTGGAGACTGGAACCACTTTGGAACCTGGAAACACTATTGAAGCTGGAACCAGTTTGGAATTTTCAACCACTTTGGAGACTGGAACAACTTTGAAAACTGGAGCCATTTTGGAACCTTCAAGCAGTTTGGTACCTGGAAGCACTTTCGAACCGGGAACCACTTCGGAATCTGCAACCACTTTGAAAACTGGAACCACTTTGGAGACTGGAATCACTTTGGAACCTGGAACCTCTTTTGAACCTGGAACCACTTTGGAATCTACAACCAGTTTGGCAACTGGAACCACTTTGGTACCTGCAACCACTTGGAAAACTGGACGTACTTTGCAAACTGGATCAGGGTATCCAACCTCCACCCCTTCTACACTCTCCACCTCCATCTCCACCAGCACCCCAGCTCCTGGTGTCTCTTCCACTGCTCCATCCAACTCCACCATTCCCATTCCCAGCACTCCCAGGTCCACCCTCCCTACAACCCCCCCCAGCAGCACAATTACAGGTGAGGCCTCCTCCTTCCCTCTGCCCTTCCCTATGGGCTCCAGGTGTCTCCAGCCATGTCCCACCCTCATATCCCCGCAGATCCATGCCTTAATGGTGGCTTTTGGAATGGGTATAAGTGCCACTGTTCTGATGGATTCTATGGGGAATTCTGCCAATTCCCGATATGCCAGAATGGGGGCACCTGGAGCAATGGATTCTGCTTGTGCCCTGAGAACTTCCAGGGAAGCGAGTGCCAGGAGGCCAAGGACAGCATCGAGGTCAAAGATGGTAGGAACCCAATTCCGGGACCTGAGTGGGAATGGGGTCGCCTGGAGGTGGGATGGAGATGGCAATGGGATGGGAATAGGGGCACCAAAGAGGAACCACACTGGGAATGGGGCCATCACAGACAAACCAACCTGGAAATGGGCCACCATGAGGAACTGAGCTGGGAATGGGAACACCATGGAGGGACTGAGCTGGGAATGGGAACACCATGGAGGGACTGAGCTGGGAATGGAGGCACCAAAGAGGGAGGGCTTGGGAATGGGGCCACTATGGAGGGACTGAGCTGGGAATGAGGCCACTAAAGAGTGACTGAGCTTAGAGTGGGCACACCATGGAAAGAGAAACCTGGGAATGGGGCCTCTAAAGGTGGACTGAGCTCGGAATGGGAACACCATAGAGGGACCAACACAGGAATAGGGCCACCATGGAGGGACTGAGCTGGGAACTGGGCACCATGGAGGTACCAACCTGGGAATAGGTGACCATGGAGGGACAGAGCTGGGAATGGGGCACCAAAGAGGGAGGGCTTGGGAATGGGGCCACTATGGAGGGACTGAGCTGGGAATGGGCACCATGGAGGGACTGAGCTGGGAATGAGGCCAGTAAAGAGTGACTGAGCTTGGAATGGGAATGCTATGGAGAGAGAAACCTGGGACTGGAGCCTCTAAAGGTGAGCTGAGCTGGGAATGGGAACACCATGCAGGGATCAAATTGGGAATGGGGCCACCATTGGGAATGGGGTCACTGAGCTGGGAATGGGCCACAATGGAGGGACTGAGCTGGGAATGAGCCATCATAGAGAGACCAACCTGGGAATAGGGCCACCATAGAGGGACCTGCTTGAGAGTGGGCCACCAAGAGTAATTGAGCTTGGAATGGGAACACCATGGAGTGACTGAGCTGGGAATGGGGCATCACAGAGGGACCAGCCTGGGAATGGAGCCACCAAATAGAGACTAGCTTGGGAATGGGTCACCATGAGCAACTGTGCTGGGAATGGGAACACCATGGAGGGACTAAATTGGGAATGGGGCCACCATGGGGGGACTGATCTGGGAATAGGGCACCATGGAGGGACCAACACGGGAATGGGGACACCAAAGAGGAACCAGCTTGGGAATGGGTCACCATGAGCAACTGTGCTGGGAATGGGAATACCATGGAGGGACCAAATTGGGAATGGGGCCACTAAAGAGGGACTGAGCTGGGAATGGGAACACCATGGAGGGATCGGCCTGGGAATAGGGCCTCTAAAGGTGGACTGAGCTGGGAATGAGGACACCAAAGAGGGACTGGCTTGAGAAGGGGCCACCATGAGTAACTGAGCTGGGAAAGGGGCCACTATGGAGGGACTGAGCTGGGAATGGGGGCACCAAAGAGGGAGCGGCTTGGGAAAGGGACACCATGAGTATTAGAGGGCTGGGAATGGGCCATCAAAGAGGGACAAACCTGGGAATGGGGCCACCATAGGGGGAACAAACTGTCAATGGGCCATCATGGAGGGACTGAGCTGGGAATGGGAATGCCATGGAGGGACTGAGCTGGGAATTGGGCACCATGGAGGGACCAACACAGGAAGGGACCAAATTGGGAATGGGGCCACCATAAGGGCCCGAGCAGGTCCCCTGCTGAAAGGCACCCTGGAGGGGCAGGGGCACCCGGCTTGGTTGCCCATGGCTCTCCCCCTGCTTGGGAAGTGCTGCTGGATGCTGCGGTGGGGATGAAGACCAAGATTGATAACCGGGAATTCACGACCGAGCTCCAGGACAAATCCTCGCCAGCTTTCCAGGACTTTGAGAAGGAGTTCAAGGAGCAGGTCAGGATCTGGCAGCACCAGGGGCACCCCCTTGGGGTGCATGGGGTCAGATCTCCCCATGGCTTCTCTTTGTCTTCCAGATGAGAGACCTCTACAAGCATATCGAGGGCTATCAAGATGTGGTGATCCATGAACTGACGTGAGTGCTTCTGACCTGCTTCAGCAGTGGGATTTGGAATGAGACGATTCATGGGTATCAATTAGCAGTGATGCTCCCCAAGGATGGGGCATCTGCATCCCTCCAAGCCGTGTTCTAGCCAGGCTGGTTCATGATGTTCCCCAAAGATGGGGCATCCACATCCCTCCAAGCCATGTTCTATCCAGGATGGTCCATGATGTTCCCCAAAGATGGGGCATTTGCATCCCTCCAAGCCATGTTCTATCCAGGATGGTCCATGATGCTCTCCAAGGATGGGGCATCCACATCCCTCCAAGCCATGTTCTATCCAGGATGGTCCATGATGCTCTCCAAGGATGGGGCATCCACATCCCTCCAAGCCATGTTCTATCCAGGATGGTCCATGATGCTCTCCAAGGATGGGGCATCCACATCCCTCCAAGCCGTGTTCTATCCAGGATGGTCCATGATGCTCTCCAAGGATGGGGCATCCACATCCCTCCAAGCCATGTTCTATCCAGGATGGTCCACGATGTTCCCCAAAGATGGGGCATTTGCATCCCTCCAAGCCATGTTCTAGCCAGGATGCTCATGATGCTTTTCAGGGATGGGGCATCTGCATCCCTCCAACCCACATTGGTCCCAGCTGGGTCTCCCTGCCATAGCCACCACACTGGTCCCAGGTGGATCTCCCTGCCATAGCCACCCATGTCTCTTCTCTTTGCAGCCAGGGCAGCATCGTGGTGAACTACACGGTGCTCCTGAAGGTCCCTGCAAGCACCAACGCCAATGAGACACTGAAGACCATCTCCGATGACCTCATCAACACCATCACCAACTCCACCACCTGCAGTGAGGACTGTGAAGGACCCAACTGTGAGTGATGCTGGTGGTGGCCATGGATGGATGGATGGATGGGTGGATGACGGCTGGCTGGCTGGTTGGCTGGGTGGCTGATGGATGAATGGATGGACGGATGGATGATGGACGGATGGATGGATGGATGGACGGATGGATGATGGATGGATGGATGGATGGACGGATGAATGATGGACGGATGGATGGATGGATGGACGGATGGATGATGGACGGATGGATGGATGGATGGATGGGTGGATGATGGCTGGCTGGCTGGTTGGCTGGCTGGCTGATGGATGGCTGATGGATGGATGGATGGATGGATGGATGGATGGATGGAAGAATGGATGGAAGGATGGATGGATGGATGGATGGATGATGGTCCCATGCAATGCTTGGCACCAGGGCAAGGTCCTTGCTCAGGGGGAGGATGGAGCTTGAGCCCAAGGGTGCCCATCAGCAGCTACTCTCTCCATGCCAGGCTCTTTCTGCTTCAATGCTGGGTTCACCAACATCACCAGCTACGAGGTGGAAGAGGTTGAGAAGAGTAAGTGAACCCATGGAGATGTTCCTATCAACCCTGGGACCCCCTTAAGCCACATCCCTGAGCTGTGACCTCCCACCCTTAGGTGTCTGTGACAGCCTCAATCTGAACGAATTCAGTTCCTTTTATTCCCCACTCCTCACGGCCACCGGCGTCATCTGCATCACCAGATGTGACCAGCGAACAACCGACCCCCTCCCCTGCGTCTTTGGCACTTGCAAGGTGCTCAAAGAAGGACCAGAGTGCATGTAAGGACCCACTGGGTGTCCTCCACGCAGTGGGTGCCCCCTCCTTGGCTTGGTGCTGGTGTCACCACTTGGATGTGGATGTGGACGTGGACATGGATGTGTCCTCATCAGGTGCTCGGAGAAGGCGGCGTTTTGGTACCAGGACAAGGCCTGCAGCTCACGGATCAGCAAGGTTGGGGTGGCCATAGGGGTCCCAGTGACAGGGCTGGTGCTGGCCATCGGCATCTTCACCATCTTCCTGGTGCGGGCAAGGAGGCAAAAGGAGATGTACAGGCAAGTGGGGTGGGGATAAGGAGCTGTCCCATAGGAGCAGATCCGGTTCTCATCTGTCTCCATGGCACCATGCAGGGATAAGTTGACGTCCCGCTCGGAGCTCTACTGCAGCATCGATGAGAGCTGGAGCAGCCCCCAGGGCTTTGCCACCAACAATCAAGGAATCATGCTGGAAGGTAATGGAGCTGGTGGGATGGATGATGGGTGATGGATGAATGATGGATAGATGATGGATGGATGATGGATGGATGGATGGATGGATGAAAGGATGGATGGTGGATGATGGATGGATGATGGATGATGGATGGATGATGGATAGATGGTGGATGGATGATGGATGGATGAAAGGATGGATGGTGGATGGATGGTGGATGGACAATGGATGATGGATGGACGATGGATGGATGATGGATGATGGTGGATGATGGATGGATGGATGGATGGATGGATGGATGAAAGGATGGATGGTGGATGATGGATGGATGATGGATGATGGATGGATGATAGATAGATGATGGATGGATGATGGATGGATGGATGGATGGATGGATGGATGGATGGATGATGGATGGATGGATGGATGGATGGATGGATAGATGGATGGATGGATGAATGGATGGATGGATGAAAGGATGGATGGTGGATGGTGGATGGATGATGGATGGATGAGGGATGATGGAGAGGTGATGGATGAATGGTTGGATGAGGGATGGATGATGGATGGATGATGGATGATGGATGGATGGATGGTGGATGGTGAATGGGTGGTGGTGGCCAGGTGGAGCTGCAGCCCCTCCATGTGCTCCTGTGGTCTATGCTCTCTTTCCTTCCCCCAACAGAGCTGGAGACCCCCAGCACCACCCAGATTTACCTGGAGAAGGTGGACACCTCACAGAAGGTGGGTGCCATGTGCCTAGATCCCCCCACCATAGTGGGGAAAACCCCCTCAGTTCCACTCCCATCTCTCCTTCCTTCCTTCCCAGATCCACATACAGAAGCCATCCCAGATCATCATCCCTTGAGCAGAAGAACCCAAGAGCCATGGGTGAGGAAGCACCAGGACATCTCCCACTTTCCTCCCTGCATGGTTCTATCAACCCCCTGTTTGTAGTTGAATAAAGCGGTTATTCTATTGTCCCCTCTTTGGGTGACACATGTGGGGCCTTTGGGGAGGGTGGTTGACATGGAGGGGTCCCAAGGTGGCCACCACCACATTGTCACCCCACAGATGATGGGGACACCACTGAATGAGCACCATAGGCCTGTTGAGCTCTATGGCAGTGGTGGCAGCACCAGCCCTGCCAGCTCATCCAGTCCTCCTGGCCACATAGGTCCTAATGGTCCTCTGAGCCCTTCCATTGGAAAGAGTAGATGTAGAACTGCTGCATCAGAAACCACTTAAGTGACCACCACCTCCTCCTGCACCACCGCCATCTCCACCACCACTTTCCCCACACCACTCCAACCATCCCTACGACTCCAGCCATCCCCATCACCACCATCCCCTCCACTACAACCATCCCCACCACCACCATCCCCACCACCACCACCATCCACACAACTACAACCATTCCCACCACCACAATCATCCCCACCATGACAACCATTCCCACCACCACAACCGTTCCCACCACCACAACCATCCCCACCATGACAACCATTCCCACCACCACAACCATTCCCACCACCACAACCATCCCCACCATGACAAACATTCCCACCACCACAACTATTCCCACCACTACAACTGTCCCCACCACTACAATCATCCTCACCACAACCATCCCCCCCCACCATTCCCACCACCATCCTCCCACTACGATCATCCCCACCACTCCAACCATCCCCACCACCACCACCCCCTCCACTCCAACCATCCCCATCACCACCATCCCCTTCACTTCAACCATCCCCACCACCACCACCCCCTCCACTCCAACCATCCTCACCACCACTCTCAGCACTACAACCATCCCACCACCACAACCATCCCAACCACCACCATCCCCTCCACTACAACCATCCCCCCCACCACCACCATCCCCTCCACTCCAACCATCCCCACCACCACTCTCAGCACTACAACCATCCCCACCACCACAACCATCCCAACCACCACCATCCCCTCCACTACAACCATCCCCACCACCACCATCTCCTCCACTACAACCATCCCCTCCACAACAGCCGTCCCCACCACCACCACCATCCCCACCACCACAACCATCCGCACCACCACCATCCCCTCCAGTACAACCATCCCCTCCACCACAACCATCCCCACCACCACCACCATTCTGACCACTACAACCATCCCCACCACCACCATCTCCACCACTACAACCATCCCCACCACAACCATCCCCACCACCACCATCCCCACCAAAACCATCCCCTCCACTAAAACCATCCCCTCCACTACACCCATCCCCCCCACCACCATCCCCCCCACCACCACCCCCACCACTACAACATCCCTCCCCACCATCCCCACCACCACAACCATCCCCTCCACTACAACCATCACCACCACCACCACCACCATTCTCATCACTACAACCATCCCCACCACCACCATCTCCTCCACTACAACCACCCCCTGCACCACCATCATCCCCAGCACTACAACCATCCCCACTACCCTATCCTCACCACCCCCATCCCCCACCACCACCCCCTCTACTACAACCATCCCTATCACCACCATCCCCACCACCACCATCTCCCCCACTACAACCATCCCCACCAATACAACCACCCCCCCACCTCCATCCCCCCCATCCCCACCACTTCAACCATCCCCTCCATTACAACCATCACCTCCACTACAACCATCCCCACCACCACCATCCCCACCACTACAACCATCCCCACCCCCACCACTACAACCATCCCCACCCCTACCACCCCCACCACATATATGCCCCTCCCTGTCACCAGTGCTGTATTTAACTGCTTTATGGTGTTTTTCTCACCTCCCCTGGCACTTGGGAGGTGTCTGAGTGGGGACAAAGTCCATGCCTTTCCCATAATATCCCATTGGGGTGTGGTTGTGGCCAAAGTCCTACCTGGAGTGGGTTTCAGAGTCCATCAGGAAGCAAGTGGCAATGGAACGGGGGTGATGGGGAAGGTGTCACCCCAAAACAGGGCTCTCAAAGGGGAAGGTGTCACCCCAAAACAGGCCTCTCAAAGGGGTGATAGTGGTGGCTTCTTGCTCCCTCCCAGCTGTACAGTTCTGTATAAACCAGTATCCCAAGAGTGATCCCAGTGAAGAAAGAGGGGGTCCAGCCCCAGCTGGACCTCCCTAAGAGGAGGCCGAGGAGATGCTCATGGATTGGCCATAATTTCCTTAGTTCCAACTGGCTCCTTGTCAGGACTCCTCATACATTGACTTATAAGCAACCTTAACAATTGAACTGAGTAATTCCACAATTCCCAATAATTCAGGCCGTGTTTGGCTCTTGATTCCTGTTAATCCAATTGGGAGCCAATGAGATGCCCTGGATTTTGCAGGGGCTTTCCCACTTGTTGCAGGAGGTCTGGAATGGCCATTTGGGAATGAAACACCCTGATTTCAAACATCTAAGTACTTGGGAATGAAAAGAGGGAAGAGGGAATGTTTTGGTTGGTTGAGATGGGTATTGAGGGCAATAAAAAGTGAATAATGCTAGTAACACTAATGCTACTACATTAATAATAAAATGTATTAATAATATAATAATATATTATGAATAATATTATATGCACAATATTACTAAGAATAATAGTAGCAGCAGCAGCTACTACTAACACATTCTAAGTCTAAAAATTTAGCCAGTATTATTGATATGAATAATTATAGTTATTAATTCTGATAGCATTAGATAATTGTCTAATAATACTAATTAAATAGTAATTGCATTAGATAATTAATAAAACTTATATTATTGGTATTATTAGTTTTCATCCCAATGAATGCTAGATCTTAGGGCTCTTGGCCAATGCTGGTATTATTATTAGTATTAGTACTATTAGTATTATAGCATTATTACTATATTAGTAGCAGTAGTCTTACTATGTTATTATTATTATTATCATTATTTGACAAGAAATTAATTTTCATGGATTTTGTGGAGGCTGCTCAGGCTGTTCTCTTCCAAATAATCATCGTCCCCTGTTCACATGTATCTATGAATATATACATGAATATATGAATGTAATTCATATATATATGATATATGATACATATGATATAATAATATAATTAATATATCATAAAGTAGATATTATATTATATATAATATAATGTTATATGTTAGTATATAATATGATGTAATATATAGAGAATATATAGTCTAGAATATATAATATATAGAATATATAGAATACAGAATATAGAATATAGACTATAGAATATAGAATACAGAATATAATCTATAACATAGAACATATAATATAGACGATAGACTATATAAATGAATGTAATTCATATATATGAGTTGATATGAATTCTATATTTAGGACAGGTTAGTCTCTTTTACATAGAAAAAGCACACATTTGGTGGCAAACAGACAAGCCCAAATGTGCACTTTTCCTTCTGGAGCATCAGGAAAATGAAAAAGAATAGAAAATGGAATCAAAACTGCATCACCCCAAACATTCCATTGGGATTTTTCTAGGGAGCAAAGCACTGAGAATCCCATTTCCTTCCCAATATGTTCTGAAAACTCCCACTGGTGAGAATCCTCCAGAACGTGGGGGTTTGGTGCAAGGGAGAACTGGGCACAAAAAGAGCTTTGCAACATGATTTCTGGTTGGCCTTAATGGTCTTGAAGGTCTTTTCTAACCCAAATGATTCTGGGACTCTAAGAACCATAGAACTGGATGATCTTTGACCATCTTTGAGCACAGAGTAGAAGGTCTTTGGAACCAGATGGTCTTTGGAACCAGATGGTCTTTGGAACCAGATAGTCTTAGAACTAGATGGTCTTTGGAACCAGATGGTCTTTGGAACAAGATAGTCTTAGAACTAGATGGTCTTTGGAACCAGATGGTCTGTGAAACCAGATGGTCTTTGGAGCCAGACAGTCTTCCAACTCAAATCATCTATGAATCAGTGAACCATGCATAGGGTGGAGGAGTTTTGGTGCCCATTAACCTCTTGCTGCCAACAAACACAAAGGTTACAGAGGCAAGAAGATGCCCCCATCGAGACTGGATGCTCCGGGGGTGTCCTTATGGCATTGGTTGAGTCCTATGGGTCTGTGTAATGCAGTGGAGGCTGTTCCCTTGTGGTCCTCCTGCTGCCTTCAGCCGGAGTTCAGGAGTTCAGATTCCTGTAGGGATATTGCCTTGTCATCTGGAGATAAGGAACTGGGCTGAGTCCGTCTCTATTCCCTGTTTATGGCTCACACGATGACAGGTTTATAGCAGCACGATGATGCTTTGGGTGAACTCTGCTGCTCTATCTTGGCTGGGTGCGAGCAATAAAGGCTATAAATAGAGTGTGTATGGATAGGTCTCATAGATAACATATACACTAGGCATAATATTGAATTCTTATACTATATATGAATAAATCTACAACATATAAATAAGTGAATACAATTATTATAACATATAACTATATAAAATAGGCATAATATTAAATTCTTATATATGATGTACATGAATAAATATACTATATATAAATAACTAAATATAATTAATATATTCACTTTATAAAATAGGCATACTATAAAATTCTTATATATATACTATATATGAATATACCACATATAAATATCTGGATATAATTAAAATAAGATGATATAGATTATCAATAACATGACATAACACATCATGTTATAGTAACAACATAATAACCTAACAACATGACTGACATAATGCAAGGTGATTTAATATCTCTATAAATATACATAAATATATACATATATACACATATAGATACATAAACATTTATTTACACGTCGATAAATATTGCTTTACATATGAATATGTACATAAGTGTTTCAGATGGACTCTGCTCCTTTCTGCTCTGAACACATATCCTATAAAAGACTTTTAATGTATGTGTGTATAGAAGGTATTAATATATATACATGAGTATATAAAGCATATAAAATGAAATATACTCTATTATAAGGTGGTGTTTAAC